ATAAGATACTTAACACACTTTAAAGTTCAATTCAAATACTATCTACTATATTCGTGTTAGCTTCAATGTTTCTTTCAAAACACAGTATAAACACAATGACCAAAACCCTAAATATATTCTACGTACATTCCATGTTCTCTTTATAACTATAGAAATTAACATTTAAAGTCATATTGAACAATAAAATTTCTTGTTAGACACTAAAGAGTTCAAACAAAACCAGAGCCATGCGCCACATAATGACAATTAGGTCAAGCACAGATTGTTTACTGTACTTTTAATTTCCTTCTAAACCTGAAAATCTCTGAAATGTAGTAGAAATATACATTAATTTAATATTATCAGCAAGAGAAATACATGTACAGTGATTTGAAAGTTATTTGAATTCATTAATATTAGTTTTCCCAATACTGGTTATTATTAAATTACATGGGTTATAATTTTCTTCATTAATGTAAGAAGAAGAATGATACACTAAGTATAAATATTTAAGAGCTCATCTTAAGTGAAAATTACAAATGTTTGTTAAAGTTCTTAGCACTATATAAAGGGGTTTTCAACTTTAATATTGCTTAAAACAGTAATTTTATTTTGACATTTATAGATCCAATAAAAGAACACACTACTGGCACTTTAAAAAATTGTTAAATATTTAATAGTTATTTAAATATACAATATTTATATTTCTGTAGAAATTTCTGGGCTCCCTTTCAAAGAAAGCATGGATTGGAGTCTTTCGTAACAGCAGCAATCATCCATGGGTGTCAAGAAATGGCTCAACTTTCAAACTAAAGTAAGTTTTTTTGAATGGTGAGCTATACTAGAAAAAAATATAAATGGAGAAATTCAGGAGAATAATATGAGGATGTTTAAGTTGAATTAAAGACATGATAAAGATGTAGAAAGTTAGTGGCATGCTGATATAAATACAAAAGAATGGACAACACTTGTTTCGCTTTATTGGTGGTTTTATTTTCTGTAGTTTGAGGGTACGGCATTCAACTGTGTTCAGTTCGTAATAACCAACTCTTACTAATGTTACATTAAAATGTGATTAAATGATAAAATCTTTTCCTTAAAGAACATGAAAAATCCTGTTGTTTCATGAGTTGTCCCCATAAAATATAAAAGAAGTATGAATTTTTCTCCATTACAGAATAGAGGAAACAAGATATAGTAAACATAACTGTGCTGTGCTGCATTCACTCGATCTTCTATCAAGGGGATGTGGATCTAATAAAACATATATTTGTAAGCACGAGCTTTAGAAGTAAAGCATCTGAGTCTGGAGTTGGCCAGGTGATATTGTATTTTGTGGAATGGAAATAATATTATGATTACATAAATCAAAATGAATTATAATTTGTTTAATAATGAAAAGATATTAAAAGTAATATTTGTAGAATAATACACACACCAGAAAGAACAGGATATCACTGCTTTTGTGTCTGGTTTATTGTT